CACTTATTCACGACTCAGTAAATACCGTACAGTCGGAGGCAGAGTCAACCGTCCGTTGGACAAAGTCCAACGAGGGGGGGGGGGTCGTATTCGCAAGGTCGGAAGCAGCGTCAATCCTATTCCAACAGGGTCGTAGTATAACCATTTACGGTGCTAAGAGAAAAAATTTGCTGTTTCACTGTTGATAATGTCCCCCCCCCCTTCCCCCACTCGACGGCTATTTTGGAGTATTTTGGAGGAAATGTGGGTGGGGTGGGCTGTGTCAACTGGTCTCAGCTGGGAGAGTCGTGTCGATCGAGGCGCTCCAGAAGAGCGAGTCGTAAAATTTTTGAAATTGGTCCGTACGTGACGGCTGACCCTGGTCGGAGGACGTTTCATCCATCGAAAATAGGGCTCCCTTTCTGAGATAGCGACATTCTTCTTCCTCCTTCCTTCTTGGTTACCCCTTTATCCCCTTTTCTGGCTTATAGCTGTTGTTCTGAGACCATTCAGTAGTTTTGGCCGTTTAGGGCGCTCATTCAGGTGCACCCTACCCATCGTAGGCGCAGGATCGATTGATTTATTTGTGTTTTGTAATTTTTGGTCAGTGTACTATCTCACCCAAACTTGAGCCGCTTCTTCAATTGGGTTTTCAGGTAATAATTTTATGCTAGACAAACAAACATAGCCTAATATACAGGGGGGGGGGCAAAAAAAAAGACATTTTGCCTATGTCGGACTTCGGCTCTTTTTTCTTCGCAGAGATTGCTGTCGTTGACGGGAGTTCCTCAGCAGAGTATTCCCTAAGTGTTCCTCTATTAGTGTACGCAGGCTCCTCCTTCACTGCCCTCACCGTCTTCAGAATATGACGTCATCTGTCACCGTCGTCAGGCTCAAGGAGGTCTACCGTAAGAGCTTCAGCCTGAAGCTCTTACGCAATTTCGTGAATCGATTTAATGTTGGATAGTTTTCTAGAGGCATTAGCTACCACTGTGCAAATCCCCTCGGAACTAGCTTTCCAGTAAGGGTCGTTATGGTACACGATCCTTCGAAGACCCCATTGAGATCGACCAGTGCACCATGTTTCCAGGGCTAATTCTTCTGATGCCGTCCACGTACGGTGGCCACTATGAAGATTTTCTTATAGAATGGAATGCACTCTTTAATAATAAGTTGGAACCGTTCGGTCTGAGTTGAGTAAAATGTGCTTAAATCCATCTGGAAGTGGAGGCAAAATGTCTTTTTTTTGGCCCCCCCTGTATGTAGTGAGTAGGATGCTTGCGGTTATTTGATAATGCATACCAGTCCTTGCAAGTACTGTTTTCATTGGTCAGTGTGAGTGGTGGTCCACTAAGAGAGGTAGCAGAAAGAGAATTTGGGTCTCAAGCAAACTCTTCATGATGAATCGTATAGATTTTGCATGTGTCATTAGACATTTTTTTTCACACTTCAGTTTTTTTTGTAATGAATAGTGATGTTTTTTGATCCTTCTGCTTCGCTTGGTTTTAACGATGAACAGTCCTTAAGGCAGTCATTTGAAATTAGTAATTAAAAAATTGAATTAAAATTAATTAAAAAAATAAAGTAAATCAGAAATTAGAAAAGAGAAAAAATTAACTAATAAAAAGAAGTAGCTTCTAAGTGTTCGAAGTGGCTTTCCTGTTAGTAATGAAGGGGGGGGGACTCTTCCTGAGGCCTCTCCTTTATTATTTATTCTCGACCTTCTGTATTACATTCAGTACAATACTGTCTCGTGGTCAGACAGACAGTCTCTCTAGAGAGTCCTTTCAGGCTTTCTTCTTCAAAACGCTTTCTACCCATTAAAGGAACGCAAAACTGTGATTCATTTCCATATAGCGCCCTTGTGACTAATAAAAACGGGTGAGCTTCGGTTTATGGTTCGACTCTATGTGATGACAATTTTGTTTTTGAACTGTCCTATTCAGTCTGCTGTCAAATAGTGCCAGCACTAAGAATGAATGTTACGTTTGTAATCGAGATCCCAGTATCGTCTACAATGCGTTGGGTTTTATTGAAAATTGGTGGAAAGGATTATGGCGCAAAAGTGGCGCTATCCTGGACCTGCAGCAAAAATTGATGCCATAGTCGCTCTACGGGCGCTGGATAGTCCTCATGGCAAAATTTTCGATAGAACGATTTGGCAGCTCAGAACAGACAAGCTCTCCCTATCCTCCGCAACTAGTGAAGATTTTTTTTTAGGAGCTGACGGCAGTGGCGGACAGTCAAACTACTGACGATGGTTGAAGGACACACACTTTGGCCAGCCCCTGGTGCATCCCGAAGCATGACCTAAACCAAAACAAGCTTGACGCGGAAAGCTGGCAAAACGACTATCCGAAAATTTCCACGAGTCTATTCTCTCGTCATATTTCATTCCTTTGGAGCACACATGGCATACAATGTGAATCTTGAAGTCGCGGCTGCCGGTACCTGTCTAGTAATGGAAGGGGCGAGGACGCAACCACGCACTACTTGATGTTGAGGGGTCCCCGCGACTTTGTTATCTCCTAACTATATTCGGTTGGCTGACTGTCTGCCAGTATCCTCCCTGGGAAGGATCCCAAACGTGAATAAGTAGTTTTCCAGGTCGTAGGCGTCACAAGTTTTTATTCACCAGTGTTCTGCTACAACAATCTCAGGAGCTATTGGAGGTCTTACCCAGAACATGACTTTGATTTTGCGCTGGCGTCATTCAGCACTGACTGATAACGCCAAGCAAGAGTCCAAAATCTGTTCGCCACGGTGATGCGAACCGCACATCATCGCCCTGTGGAAGCTCACAATGATCTCCTTACACATCGTTCTCTGGCGACGAACCCTACCGACTGCTCTTACGAATTTCCGCACTTTCAGCTTACACCATGAACAAAACATCATTCGTGACCAGGATTCACATTGTTTCCAGTGTGCAGCTCACAAGAAGCGTTTACGATATTATGTAGTCAGTCCAGGAATGGAACTGATCAACCTGAAATGTAAAAATTGAAATTTCTAAAAAAATCTGTCACTTGTTTTTTGATATCCACTGTGGCAGTCAGGAAAAATGAAGCATAGTTTTATGATCCGTGTGCGTGCGTCTATACCATGCAAAAATTCTGAAAAAGCGCGGCACGACATTAACGATTTTCGGTGAGAGATACAGGACGCCGAAGTAAGGGCGATGTTGTAGCTGTGGAAGTGCAGGAGTCGAGCGAATAGTAGATTTATTAGAGCGAGGAATAGAATAATAACATAGCAAAAGTCGGCCTTTTATACGGCACGATACGGGCGGTATGGATCGGTGATCGGTAAGTGATCCAAGATCTGACGATCACCTACAGAGCCTTTGATTTATTAGCCTGATCAAAATGCTAATGTGCCGATCCTACAGGCGCAGACTGACGAGAGAGCATATTGGACGAGAGAGACGCAGACACCAGCACATTTGCAATGGTGGTACTGATCTTGTTACTTATGAGATATATTTATGCAAGTAGTAATCTCAGTGCCTTCTTGTTCTGACCAGGGAAGTCCTTCAGGACGTGGAGCGCTTTTCAAGACGGTGTTTTGCATGTTATAGAGACATGCGCAGGGAGCATAAAACAGGAGTGTCTCCCTTGAGTGGCTTTTAGGATGCAAAACAAGTGGAAGTTAAGGCTTGTGATTGATCCCTAATGAAGACAAATTTGAGCATTTCTCTAATTTCCACTTTATTAAGCTCACATGTGTATTCTGAACTTATCCAGTGAATAAGAAGCTTTCAATATGTAATTATTAATCGCTACAAATGCTGTCGAGTTTATTAGAAATGTAAATGTTTCAAATTTTCTTCCTTTCCTCTGGCTCAGAAAAATTATCACCAGTTTTATGCTCCACGCATGTGCCCTGCAACAAATCGTATTGAGAAGCGCCCCACGTTCTGGAAGACTTCCTGGCGAGTTCTTGTAGGAATGGCAGTGTCTCTGTGGTTGCGAAACCAGCTATGTTTTTCACAAGAGGATTTGTTCCAAGAGCCCAGTAGAATTTGATAGGTATTCCGTCGGTAAAAAATCACTTTGCCGGTACTTGAAACATGCCTAGTCATTGATACATTTGAGTTGAGAATAACGGCGAAATGCCGCAGTTGATAAAATAAAAGTTGTGCGACTCGTGTCGGGCATTCCTCCATACGCGCAGGGCCTTTACATCGCTGACTGTCTCGCGTTGCCCTTGTTCTTTGCTCTCCAATAAAAGAAGGCTCTATAAGAAGTTTGAGAAAATACCTATGGATCTGGGACAGTGTATGGACCCAAACGGAGCAATGGAAAGAAAACAAAACAATAAACTGTTGAAGGCTTTTTTTTTTCGAAAATGTGCTTTGTCTTTTGTTCAATGGTAAGTAATTTTTCAAGCTTAATTTTACTCTCTCGCTCCTTTTTTCTTCATTTTATTTGAATCTTATTCATGTTTTTTGCGTTTCAATAGGCCTTTTGGATGCCTCGATTTTAGCCGCCTCTGTTCGCTCTTTTTCTTATGATTTCTAAACTATGCCAGAATTTTTTTTCTTTTTTTTGTTTTTTTTTATTACCCATGAATTCATCTCAACGTTGCTCACTTTTAGACCGGTTTCTCAGCCAAAACTGGTTCCTTTCAATCGCGGTTTTTCTTCAATCGGCCTAGTTTTTTATCCATAATATTCTGAAGCTCTTGGATTCAGAAAGCATTACTTCACCTTACTTTACTGTCTGCTTTCCTCGTACAAGCTCTTGGTCATTCGCTTTTTTAGCGCTAGTCGTTTGCGGCCACAACTCGGCGCTGAGCGAACTGCTTTCCAGCAACACCTGTTCGTCATTTTCCTCAACCTTCCGACATTTGATAAATGCGATGCCGAGAAGCGGATGCATCTTTTAAGCTCAGTCGTACTGATCGTTTCTTTGTTACTCTTTTATTACTCACTTTTAATGATACTCGTTATATCTGGTCCTTTCATATGTGCACACGATCACTTTCAATTTTCTAGCTTTCCAGGTCGTTGCTCTCATATGTCATCTGAGCCACGAACCACGCACGATGATGCCACACCAGGACCATCTACACCAAGGTTCCTTAAGCTGTTATCAAATTTACTTACTCTATCATAAGATTCGGTTCTTATTTATTTGAATGACTTCAGAAGTATTGCCCGTGCACTTGAATGAGTTCCATAATAATTACTATACAACATTCTTGAAATAATCGTTAAACGGATGCTTTTTCCCCATAGATTTCTTCCCCATAGCATCGTTTAGATTAATTTGAACGCAGTAAGACGTAGATTGAACTCTAGCTCGTGGAGGGGCAACAGTTCCCGTGGTAAGATCGCGTTTTACGGGTTATTCTACTTCATTGAAGGAACACGAAGCAGCACGAGGCGCATACCTGCAATCCTTCGTGGGAATTTCAACGAATCATTGATTTTCCCGCTATCGATTTTTTCGCAATAGAGGCGTGCTTGTTTGATCCTTCCATTGTTTTCGCATGGGGTGGGGGGTCTGGAATCCCATCACGCTCATGACACTTGCGATCTCTCTCCAAAAATTCGTCTCCAATTTCTGAAAGGTTCCTGACATCGGGGCCTTTAATAATCTTTTGTTCCTTGCCTTAAATCACAGGTTTTGTTCCAATGAAGTCTCGCATATTTGTTTTGATGAAACGGAAAGCAAGGAGGTTTTGGTTCTCTCAACTTTATCCAACAGTTAATAATTTTGGGTGCTAACTTAGTTGGGGGGGGGGCCACGCGGCGGCGCGGCAGTCTGCTCGCCTGGCATGTTCCGTGGGCCAGGGGGAGTGTAGGCAGTCTAGGGGGTGGGGGGGGGGGGTGGGGCAGTCACTTGACATGCGTGAAAAGCTGGAATGTTCGAGTTTACACTGTCTCGCTCGAGAGAGCCCAGGTGAGCAGACTGCCGCGCCGCCGCGTGGTCCCCCCAACTAAGTTAGCACCTAATTTTGCTTGAAAGTAAACTGTGTTGATAAGCAACTGTTAAATCGCACTATTTCTAGGAGTGAAAATCAAGAACCTATCAAAGGAATCCTGAAGCGGCCTTCAATGAAACAGCATGAGGCCAGAGATCAGGTAGTGTTTGCGATTTTGCTGCAGTATCAAGAATTCGCAGTAAGCAGATCCATCTTAGGTTGTGCCTACGATCACTCATCGACCATCACCTGATCGGTTTCCGGATAAGCCAGGCACTCGAATTCCAAAGTTGTCAGTCACATGGTGGGAAAAGAACGCCGGTAAGCACTTCTCAGATAGTAATTGCGGATTTCTATGTTCCGAAAGTTAATTAATTTTATTGACCTTTTGGAGCAGGGCATCCGCCACTATGTCTTCCATCACTTTTCAAATTTTGTGCTACGAAAGATTTCGCTGCTTCGCGCTTATTAGTTTTATTTGCGTTCTCCAGAAGCATTAGATTTTAGGTTGGAACATAATATCGTAACGCTTACGTTCTACCTAAACCTTTGGAACGATGACTGTAAACATGAAACTAATCAGTGTTGTTTTCTTCTTTACTATTCACATCTTTGATTCCATTTCGTACGAATTCACCTGATTTAGAATTTAAAAAAGAATGAGCTCTTTTTCAAGTCCTCATTATTCAAAATTTGTATGAGTTGGCCGTGGCTAAAATAGGATTCCACGATAAGATCGGAGTTCGATGAAGGTTGAATATACCTGGTCAAAGCCCCCCCCCCCCAACAAGGGAGGTCGTTCAGGGTGTGGAGCGCTTTTTCAAAACGGTTTTTTGCATGCTGTAGGGGCTCTCACGTAGACCACAATACTGTGTTTCATTTTCGCTGAGCGGCCCCCTGAAGGCCAAAAAAGGGTCGAAAAAATTTTTAAGAATGGGTGGTTTTTACTGCCTTGGAGTGATGTTTCGGACTTGTAGAAAGATCACCAGCATATTGAAGGGTACTGATGAAGATAATATCGAAAACAACGTGAAATTCGCTCAAAATTGAAGTACTGTATTGGTAGTGCTGAAGAAAGTGAGGTTCCACAAGCTTCGTCAGTATCCTTCCATTTGCAGCGGACTCCGCTCCACGGCAACTTTTGCATTTCTGATTGTCACCTCAAATCGGCGCCAAATTGCTTCAGCGTCAAATTAACGCTATATTCACAATCAGGACCATCAGTAGCCCTTGCAAATGGGTTTTCTATCAAAAATGGCGAAAAATTCGCAGCGCCAAACTGGCGCCAAATGGCGCCGACGTCAAAAACGAACGCCATATTCGTGATCAGGACCCTGATCTACCCCCACATGCCAAATTTCAGGGAAAAATCAAGATTCCGACCTAACTTTCAAAAAGGGTTGAACCATGGGCTTGAGGCCGTCATGCACGCCGAGCAAGCGCGGCGCGGAAATCAAGCGAAATGCCCTGGTGGTTCACGGAAAGCAAATTCGGTTTCATGGAGAATGTCCCCCTCCACGTCGCAGTCCTGAGCCGCTCCAACTTTT